CCAGGAGGAAAGACACCAGCTCCTGTTATAGAGAGAGGGTGTCAAGCTCTATCCCGTCAACTAAAAAGGTTAATCCATTTGTGAGAAAAGCCCATATGTTCAACCACCATTCAGTACTCCCCAGACCACAGCAGTGGCTGGGAGCATGTTCACTTATTTGTCATCATTCTCTTTGTGAAAGATTGTTTTCCCTCTTTGTCACAGGGTGTTGAGCAGCTGGATTTGTTTGGAGATGTGTCAACTCCTCCTGACTTACACTCTCCCACAGTAAGTATATAAAAGAGCATGGCGTGTTGATGATGTGTACTGTAGTAGCCTTGAGCCAACAAATGTATCAGAAGGGTGAACCCAGGAGGATTAGGTTTCAGAGGAGCTGAACATTACAATTATTGAATAGTAAAAATGTGTTTTATTATAAATATTGCTTACTGTGCAAATGCAAATGTGATTTGTTACTTTGTGAACTGAGAGAAGAATGCTTCATTTTTCATTGTGCCCTTGGGGTTAATCACATTTATGGGACTTTGCCTTTTTAAAGCAAAATGATGCTTGATAAAAACTAAGGCAACAAGCTAAATATTATCATACTTGTAGCATTACAAAGGTAAACATATTTTACATTTTGTATGTGAGATTGATTTGATAGTCTCATTTATTTTTTTTAAATATCATCATAGTTCATAGAAAACCTGAATTAAAGCCCTACAATGGAAATGCCCATTTTTCTAACAAAATTAGCCAATATTAAGAAAAATAAACATCAAGGATGGTTTTTTGGCCTTTGTCATGATTTAGAGCTGTATATGTGACAAGCTTGAAACTGAAGAAAAGTTTATAAATGTAAAGGCTCTTGCAAAATGTTGACATTTGTCACAGCAAAATATTCAAAAGTAAAATGGATTCTGAGTATTATAAATTGAGAGTGTGTCAGCCTAGGAAAGGGCCTGGTACACAGGGTAGTCTGTCTGGAATCCCACCTGGACATCACATCAGGTTTTCCATAGCTATTTTCTCACAATTAACCACTACACTGGATAATGTTTGTGTGGAAATAGTCTCTCTTACACAAATGTGCTTCTAAGCAATTAAGCTTATATTTGTCCCCCCACTTCACACAAAGACAAAAATGTGTCATTGGAAAATGGTCTGGCTTTTTTTATCACTTCAACATACAGTAGCTATAAAACTGAATAAATTTGAATTTGCATCTTCATGTTAATATTTATCTTTATATCTATATATTGTGGTTGGTGTGTAATATTCTTTTTGTTCAGCTGCCCAATCACAGCCTACCAGTTAACCATTTATTAATAAAGGTGCAACATTTGAAGAATGCTGTCTGCTATGAACTTCAATTGTTATACCGTTTATGGAATACCAGAATAGAATAGAACCATGTAGCACAGATTCAGGATGTCAGTCCACATGAGTGTTGAATGATCTAATACAGTATGTAAAATTCCTTTAAAATTTTGCATGTTCTTAAATTTAGAATTGATCCATTAATAAGACTGGTTTAATTTTAAGACACAGATGTTTAAATAAACCTTGTAATTCCTATTTTGTCTTTTAAAATCTTTTTTTTTTCTTTTCTGATGATTAGGAGAGTAAAGATATCCTCTTGCTGGATCTGTCCACTGACACTGACAGCAATCAGAACTGTGTAAAAGGAAATCCCTTCACCTCCTGTCCTTCTGTACCTCGGCCAAGGCCACAATCAAATGTGTCACCTGAGAATCCCTTCTCTTCCCAGCTCAGTTTCTTTCCTGCACCTACTCCAGATCCTTTCAGTGATGATCCTTTCTCGAACAATAACCAATCGGCACACCCTGACTCTGTAATTGTCCCCCACAATTTCAATCCGCACAAAGAAAATTCAGATCATGTCTTCAGTAATCCAAAGGTAAACGCTGGTCAGAACGGTGATTCTGACTACTTCGGGGAGCAGTTCGATCAGATCTCAAATAGGACTGTTATTCAGGCATTAACTAACGGCCAGTGGCCCTTGGAGAACAGGATGGCAGAAGTGGCGACTTGGACTCAGAATGGGATTTCTGAGAAGGACCACAATGGTTTACACAGCAAGCCTACCCAAAACCCCTTTTTGGAAACATCTGACAAAAGCTTATCTCTGCAACTCGGAGTGAAAAACAACTCGATGAGCAAGGCAGATCCTTTGAGTTCCCCAACACAGGAGTCTGTGATTATTAGCCCTCCACCCCAGAATGCCAAGGCTGGACGAGGGAGGAGAAGTGTAAAGGTGAAAACTTAAGTACAAAATAGATGCTCAGCTATGCATGACTGCATTTTTTTCTCATTTATTCAGCTGCTTGTTTCAGTTGCTTAAATATTAGCTGCAGTATAATCACTTTTGTAGCCTGGTGTGTTGTCAGGTACTGGAAACTAAGTAAGGTGGGTTTGGAAAGTATTGGGATGAGAGAGCTCTGAGGAAAACCAGTTTGTTGTTGTAAGTGCGGACAGTTGCCCAGCAGGTGTCACTGTTCCCTGGGCAGCAGATATTCCAGATTGATTTAGTAAGCTGACTGTACAATAAACACTATGATGTAGGAGGTGTCATCCTTTGTGTGACATGTTAAGCTGAGGATCTGACTATTTGGTCATTAAAGATTCAATGGCATCATTTTTTGTAGAGTAGGGGTGTTAACCCCAGTAGCCTTAGTAAATTTTGGATTTGGGGCTTTTGCCGTCTGACCTCCCTAAATTCCTCCCTCCTTTCAATTGGTGAAGCACTTTCCTACTTCTCAAGCTGATCCACTGTGTAGTACAGAGGGGCTACCAGTACATAATGGCTGCCTCACATCACCCAAATGGTGCTGCAGTTCGGTGGTGGATTAAGTGAGTTTTTTTATATGTACAATGCTTTGGGGCTAAAACCACTAGACAACATTCACAGCATGTATTCTTGTTGTTATAGCTTGCAGGCTAAATGTTTAGATTATAATGAGCTTTGCAAACTAACCAATCTAATTTTTAAATTGTTGTGTGACCGTGTAGGTTATGCGTTTAACCACTGTGTGCTTAGTAGACCTGCATTATTAATATTTTTATCTTAAATTTTAATGCATCAGTGACTAACAAAAAGGTAAGTGCTGACACTGAGGTTTTTATCTTTCTTATATCTTTTTAGCTCTCTGCCATCTCTTGAAGATGCTATTGCTGGTCTTTTGTCCATATTGGAGGGAAATTTGTAGTGTTTTTTTTTTCCTTAATACTTTAGCAAACACATTTCAGTACCAATATTATCATTTTCATGCCTTTCTTGATATGTCCTCAATCACATTTGAGAAGTGGATTTCTTCTCTCCCATTCTGTTTTGTAAAATAATATAATGTTTTGTTTTTTGGGGGAGAGCATGCTGCTTATTGAAGCACTTTCCATTATGTTTAAAACTGTAAAGGTTAATTAGTTTTGTTCCAACTTATTTTTTGCTCTCCTCACAACAGTCCCCTACGAATGACCTGTTTGGAGCTGACCTGTTCACTCCAGCCAGCCAGCCAGAGACTTCATCCCCACCACAACCCGACGCCATGCCGACCAACCCTGTTAATCTTTTCAACAGCTGCCCGGCCACCACTGCCCCTCCTGTGCCAGGTTTAGGTGAGACATGAAAACCCTTGGAATAAAAGCATCAACATGCATACAGTAGTTTCAGGGGATTTCTAGAAATGGCTGATTTTACCTTTATTTTTGGAATAAAACTGGAAAATGTTTTAATTATTTTTTAATTTTTTAAACTTTCAATTAAAGTTGTAATTTCATGTGTATGAAATGTGGTGGAACCCAAATTGTACGGTAAATAGCTTGGAAATGTTAGGTTCTCCTTTCCTTGCTCTATGTATGGACTGATTTGAACTTCAAAGATTGAGCACCTCTAACAGAAAATGTTAAATTAATTCAAATCTCTGTGCTGCTTCAGCTTTGTGTTTGTAAGGAATTGAAGCTCTTTTTCAGGTGTGAGGTAACATTTAAAGAATACTCATGAGTTATAGGTGGTGAAACAAAATGATGTATGTATTTTCCCTGAGTTTCTGAAGGAGCTCCTTCCTCCTTTACTAATTGAGCCATTTGGGATCCCACACAGTTCATTCTTAGTTATTGACTTACCTTGGTCGTGTAACGTGTGTAAAGTTATGCTGTTTTCTGGGGTTTTTTCTCTTGTCTGTCCAGGGGCCTTGTCACTGGGAGCTCCTCAGACAGCACCTCCAGTAGGAGCAGCACCATGGAGTCCAGCACCTTCTCCCATGTTCCCATCTTCTGGTGTCCTGTCACAGGTTTCAGTATCGGGTCCTCAACCCCCATCTTTTGCCCAGCCCGGGGCATTTGGCACCCCACCAGTCCCCAGCTGGGGGCAGTCAGCAGTATTTGGGGCAGCCCCTGCACCTCAGCCCCCAGCCTGGGGCCAGACAGTAGCCCCCGCTGCCCCTGCAGCCTGGCCTCAGCCTGCCCCCCTTACTAACCCCTTTCAGCCTCAGATATTTCCCACCACTGTTCCTGGGCTCATGACTGGGCTCCAGCAGTCAGGCCCTCCACCCCTACCTCCCCCACGACCTGCTCCCCAGAAAGAAGCCCCCAGGGTTGAGAACAATGCTTTCAGTGCTTTGGACCCTCTGGGGGAGAAGGAGAAGAAGAACGTTAAGGATATGTTTAAAGACTTCCAGATGGCAAAACCACCAGCAGTCCCAGCCAGGAGGGGTGAACAGCAAGCAGCCTCTAACACCAGCGGAGCCTTCACCCAGTATTTCACTAGCAAAGTGGGCCTGCCTCAGGACGCTGCTGATCACGATGACTTTGACATCAACCAGATATCAACCAAAATCAGTGGTAAAAAAACAGTGTCTTGATTTGTACGAACTGCTTGTGATCTTCTAATCTGTACTGCTTCTAAGAAGTCTTTAACTTGAAGTGGGGCATAAACTGATATTTTGTCTCTGGAGTGACTGGTTACCTTTTTGATTACGTTTAGGATTACTTTTTGCATTATTTTGGCAGGTAAAACTCCCATTTTTTAATAAAATAGTGTTTAGTAGTTTTATGTGGTAATTACAAATACCTTATCTTACAGTGATTCAAGCTAGAATTACAAGACCTAGACGTTGTAATACATTTATGACCCAGCAAGAATTAAAATGCAAAACACCACTTGTCAGGTTGTTGAAAAGGGTGGCACAGTGGCATCGTACCACATCGTATAAGGGCCTTATAGCTTGTGCATTTTGGGATTGATCCAGGACAGAGACTCCCTTGATGTAACATTTACTGTACAGGTTCTGGGAGTTTGCATGAGTTTTTGTGATTTGGCGTCCTCCCGTCCATCAAAGATATGTTGGCTAAGTCAGTCGGTGTCTCTAACCGGTCCCTGTTTGCCTGTGTTTGTCTAGCCGGTGTTGAACTGGCAGTGTCCTGTCCTATTGAACCTCATACTTAGGCTCTGAGTAGATGCCACACTTACTAGGAATAGGACTTTAAGGCTTTCAGATAGTGGGATATAAGAGGGATAATTCAGAAGTGCAGTGCCTGGAGCACAGAGACTAATAGACATAGCACTGCTTGGATGAAATTGTACTGGGTGGTGCAGTGGGAAAGATGCAGTTTCCCTCTTCACCACTCTTTATGCTGACTTGATTACTTGCATCAGCACCTTTGAATATCACCTCTCCCCTAGCTCTATTAGTTTGTTAGCTATTTTATGGCTATTATTTTAAACTGCAAGCTGTAGATTATAACTTACTTTAATATACAACACAGAGCACAGATTGTGATATGTCTGAGCCAAAAGGTATTATGTTTTGCAGAAGCTCCAAAACCTGCACCCCGGCAGTCTGCTCCATCTCCTGCTAGTCCTCCACAGCACCTCTTTGATGATTCCTTTGGGTCTGATCCTTTTGGAGCTCTTCCTGCTGCAACGGTACTTGTCTTATTGCTTAATGCAGTCTATGACCAGCTTTGACGTCTCTGAAAGAACAAATACATTTGAGATAATGCATGGCAAAATTATTCACCCACTTCTGATGTTTCCACATGTTCTTGCTGAGTTTGCAGTCTACCAAATAGCTCTTTCAAATGGGACTTAGTCTAGAATTCACACAATCTAATCCAACCTTATAAAGGTTAAAATATTATGAATATTTCTCAGTTTCATGAGCCTTCAGCCCCTTTCCTATGGCAACCTTAAATCAGTTCAGGTGAAGAGGTCATTAGGTAATCCTCAAAGGGCAGTGAGGAAATGAGAACTAAATGAATTCATACATATTTATTTTTATGATTTTCTTATTGTTTGTCCTGTATTATACTGCAAGTAAGGAGTATCTTTGCTTTCAATTTTAAAGAAGGCTCCAGCCCCACAGCCAGCCACATCAGATCTTTTTGGAGATGCCTTTGGCAACCCGTTTGCATGAACATCACGTTGCATCATCTGGCTTTGACATTATGTGTGAGTATTTAAACACTTCATCAGCTGTTTGTTTGACATATCATGCACAGGCCTTAGGGGTTGCTTAGTAGGGTATAAAATTACCATGCCTCTTCTATGGTTTAAATGTAAAAAAGTTTGAATGGGAGCTGTGGAGCATGGAGATTGCCAGTTCAAATCCAGGCTGTGCCACTCCTTCGTTATGTTTAAGAGCTCCTAAAAAAAGGTTTATGTTTGGCTAAATAAAATACCACTGTGTTTGGTGGAGAACAGAGGGTGAGTGATCTTGCATGTGTGCTAGTGACCCCTAAATTTGTAAAGATATAGTTTTTGGTGTTATTATGAAAAGGCATTTTCCTTTTTCAGTTGTTCACACATTGGTATAACTAAACAGATGGAATTCACAGTCATATAAAGTTTGGGATGTTAAACTATGTAAAAGTATTGAAATAGAATATTTACCTGTATGTCTAGTGCACTTTTCAATCAGAAAAATCTGAAGTCAGGAATGGCTTTTCAATTAGAAGCAGGTGTCATCACTAATCCTGTATTTTAATCTTATCTGATACATCTGCGATGTTTGTTATAAACCACACATTGAAATGTCTGTGAATCATGGTGCAATATACTATAGTACAGTATCTAAAATATTTTCTTGCTCAACTGAGAGATTTTGAAATTGAAGAAAAACATTGTTTTGTTTTTTTCAGGAGTGCCTCCGGAGTATGAGAAAATCAGGAGCTTACTTATAAAGAATTATAACAATCATGAGAAGCAGTCCAGATTTCCTGTTGTCACAGGGTCACACAGATTCATCTCAAGATCTTGTGATGTTTCATTTATTTAAAGTCACTCTGATCCATGCTTGTTGAATCACATACACTAGGATACATTTACTGCAGTTTACAGTTTTGGAAAGGTTTCTGTTTCATAGTGTCCCATATATAAATGGAAATGCAATTTATTCCAAATAAAGGAAGCTAATCTTGAATCTAGGTACATACTGTCATGATTACCTTTTATTCAGTGTTTATAATGAACATTTGATTTTTTTATGACCTGTACAAAGGTAAAACTCTGATGATGCAGTGTTTTCTAGCTCTTTTTGAGAGCATTATAAAATCCTGTTAAATGTTTATGGTTTCAAGAAACATAAAGGTTTTAACTCTTTAAAGTCTATCAATATTGGTACCATTCAGGACTTTAAAGTAGAAAACCCCTTCATTGTACAACATTGTAAAACATTTTTGTGTTTAACATACAGCTTCACTTGGGTAATGTCACTGGTGTGTTTACAAATCAGTTCAGGCACTTGTGTAAAATTAGTGATGATTGATGTTGAAAAGTTCATTTTTTCAGGGAACAAAATTTAAAAATCTTAATGTATACACACGCACACTCGTTACTTTTCCTGCCGTTGTGAGAATTCCCCAAGGTCACTCATTCTATTTTTAGCAATTATTACAAATTCTACCCTAATGAAACATGTGGTGAAAATACACAAATACTGTTGGCACTTTTAGATGTAAAAGCTGATGTCATTTAGGTTACAGGGATGTCCTCACATCATATTCTGGTCAGGGGTTATTACTTTTTTGATTTTTTTTTCTTTGATTTTGTTTGCAGATTGATTGCTGTATGTTCCCACAAATCGAGTTCTGCTTAAAAAACAAATTTCCTTCAGTTATAAACAAGACACGCACACATGCATCTTGCTGATTTTGTTTTAAGAATGGCTATAAACTTTTCAACTGATTTTCTCTTAGGTTGCCATTAGGTTGCACAGCAGTTTATGCGTCTAGGCACATGGTCTAAAAAATTAAATGTAACCAAAACTGATGCTAATGAGCATATTTAAAATTAAGTTAGTTTCTGGCATTTTTTATATGGCCATACCATTCTGATTTACAGTACATTGAAATGTGTGTGATTCAATAAGCCTCAGATCACTGGCATGGCTTTAGCCATCTAGGTTTTCCAGCAACAATAGTTCAGGGAAATGTATTTGTCCAATATTTCTAGTATTTAGATCTCAACATGATTTAAGCATTTTCCCCAGAACACAAAACAACTGACTTCAAAAACAAAAGGTGTATGTACTGGTATAACCTGAAATTATCCAACCGTGTTTATGACACAGCTGTTGAAACAATTACACTATTACTGGAAATGAAAGTATGCTTTTGTAGAAACATCTTTTGTCCACTAGTCCTCTTTATGTTGGTCGTGTAATGACAATGAATTTATTATCAAGACTTTGAAATAAACTGGAATTTTAGTTTGACTATTTCATACATCTGTATAACACAATTTGTATCAAAAAGTACGTATGACATTCAGTTATGCCTTATAATAAAGCAATAACATTCTGAATGATACCAGCGTATTTGGTTTCATTTGCCCTTTAGCATTCAGCCATTTATACTAATGTGAAAACACGAATGTGAATCTCAGACGTTATTTAGTCAATTTAATTTCACTCCACTGCCACTTGGAAATAAAGTTATAATTTCCCAAACTGAATTCTATACTTTCAGATGAATGAGCTTGTGTTTTCATTTTGGCTATGGGCATCTAATGAACAGTACAGATTTCAGTGCTTTTAGTAAAGAAATAAGCAGCATTGTATTTGGTCTTTTTTTTAAACATTCCAACTTGTTCACTGTTTGCATCCTTTAAAGGTAGGAATAGAAGCACACAAGTGAGAGTAGTAAATATAATCAACAGTTTAAAATGGTTAGTCATTAAAAGACTTATGAACATGAATAAAAATAATATAGAAAAATACTGTAATTTAAATTCAAAGAATTATGCCATGTTTCCAACAAAATATTAGAGATCTTAAATACTGTGACAGTCAGATGTACTATATATTTATTAGTTTATTAGAGGTTTAGAATTTATAAAATGTTATATACAAATCTAAAAAACATTATGGAAAACTTAAAAAAGGGCAATGACAAATATTTACAAGTTGTTGAATTAGCCTTATATTGTGTTAATACCTGATCACTTTTGCTATTCAATAAAGCAAGTACAGAATATAAAAGCCTAATCCCAGCCCATACAAGGAAACCAGCCAGCATGGAGGACTGTTAAAGTCCTCAATAACGTTCATGAATTATTAACTGGTATAGGTGTTGTTTCACTACACAGATACAGTATTAAATTAACATGATTCAGGTTCCCAAAGAAATAAATCTGATTAGGGCCTACATCACTAGCATATGAGTGGAGGAACAATGAGGATTTTTGACCTCTCAGAAATTTGGATTAAGATTACTTCAATCTGGATAAAAACAAAGTGCAATTCTTGCTCTGAGCAGGAAAAGCAAAGATCTCGATTACACGCTTGAAAAATATGTACCTTGACCACCAATGCACTATATTCATATAATGATTGTAATAAAATTATACCTTCTGTTTGTGAGATGGATATTTACAGGTACAGTATAAGAGGAGAAATCCAAAAATCAAAGTAACGTACATAGCTTGCAGACTTGTAAAAAATGCTTGTAATGCTTTGAAATATCCATACTAGCAAATATAACAATAACATTCATCCATTTTCTAACCTCCTTATCCAACAGGTCTTACAGGGTCAGCAATAACACTGTAGGAGTACAGTTACATTAATCAGGGTTAGATTAATGCTAGCAGTCTTTTGAAACAGTGTTCACTAATATGTTCTGATGTCATTAGTAATTACATGATTGTGTTAAAAGGTGCAAAACAATAGAACTGTTTACTAACAGAATATTAAATTGTGTGCCATGGAGACCTCTTGTGGCTACAGAACAAAATACCACTCAATCCAATTGCCATCTTGTATCCTTGCTCACCTCATCTGCTCACCTGCTGCTAGTTGTTCATCTTAGCTCCTTTGCCTCCTGTGCTTCTCCTTTGCTCTTTGGTGGTGAAAGCAGGTGAACGCAAGCACTGTGCCATCTCAGCCCATCTTGTCAAGATCCACCTGTTGAGACCTCATCTATGCCTTCTACGATCCTTGTGTTAGTGTTGTCTCTGTCATTCTGTTTTTTGTTTCTGTTATCATAGGCACAGTCATGATTCATGTCAGTATTACAATTTATGAAACTTGCATGGTTTCTTTTATTTAATTACGTTGAATTATTATAACTTGTTAACTTGGTTGTTGTTTTTTTTGTTAATACCACTCATAATGAGTTTTTGCAGTTTCTTTGGAAAAGCATTCAATTGCCTTGGATATTGGCATTAGGTAAATTAATGACTTGTAATTCCTAATAACACTTTGGTAGCCTATACATCCCTCCACCTCAGGCTACAGCATATGTAGGGTCTCTTTGGAAAGTTGGTGTTAAAGGGTTTGCATAGTTGTAGTAAAAGATATTTAGCAACATCATCAGCTTCATCTAAATGGGGGCAGGTGGCCAGACCTTGTATCATGCTGGAACTTTCAAGAAAATGACCAGTTGTTCATGTGACAATGTAAAACGCAAGAGATGGGCAAGGAACACAGGATATTTGAACAGGAGAGGTGAAATTGCAAGAGCAAGCAATTTAAAGTCAGGAACCCTTCTTTGCCACTGGATTCCTCCTTGATGAACTGAAAAATACAAGGTATTGAGCTCCGAAGTAACTTTGTTTTTAAATTTGTCATTTTATTTGTAAATAAAAGATTGATTTGTCCTCTTTGGTTTGCATTACTCTGGCCTTGCTCAATCTGGCCTCCCTAAAGCTCCACATTATTCCAGTAAGTGAAGAAATTTCTCACTTCTTTAACTGATCTGCTGTTGTGTCCACATGCTCCCTACACATATGTGGACACAACAGCAGATCAGTTTTACACAAGGAAAAGTCAGGTGGTACTTGTGTAAATACAAGGAAGTATTAATTTATCTAAAATGAACAGGCCAAGTGGTAGAACACTCACATTAACTCCTCTATCACTAGGGTTCTT